TTTTCAAATGCATTGAATGTCAATTTCTAGATAATGTACTTTTAGAACATGTAGCATGGTGTGTGAAAGAAGCCTTTCATGTCAAACTAGTGTTTAGGGTTTTTTGTGGATTTATATGATAAATTTTTAGACTTTTGTGCTTTAAACACACTGTCAAATTTGTAGGTTTGGCTTATGTTTAATGTATTGTGTTTGAGATATATATATATTGTATTATGTTTTGCATAATATGTATAATGTATTGTGTTTGAGATATATATATATTGTATTATGTTTTGCATAATATGTATAATGTATTGTGTTTGAGATATGTATATTGTATTATGTTTTGCATAATATGTATAATGTATTGTGTTTGAGATATATATATTGTATTATGTTTTGCATAATATGTATAATGTATTGTCTTTGTGATATTTATAATGTATTTGGCTTAGATATGTATAATGTATTGTGTTTGATTTCGGGGAAGGGAGGGTTTGATTCTCCCAAATGTACAGGCCTAGGGTGGAGCAGACACTTTATTTAGAAATTAGGATTAAGGGTCTTGATATTGGGTTTTCTTCTGTTCTTATTCTGATCTGAAATTAGAAAAAATAACTCGCCCCATGGGCGAGAAGTATAGTATCTGTTATGTACTGATTGTTTTTAGTTTACTATGAACAATATTATCATTTAAGTTCTTATTTTTTGAATATGCAACTATCATTTTCTGCTTATAGACATGGGGGAATTTCTCTTGAAGGCTCTTATAGTGGGCATGAACTATCTTGCTTGCTCGATTGCTGGTTGTATTAAACGGGACAACAAAGGGTGCTATGCCTACATTATGATGAATATTTAGTCCTATAGGTCTTGCTGTATTCAATGTCTCAATCCAATGGGCCTCCCTAGATTGACGGAATTTGGTAGTTTCATCTTCGGGCAAGTCAATTTCTATACGCTCAATTGGGATTAGGGTGAGATCGTCTATTGAATGGTCGTCGAGGTTGAAATGATTAGAAACAGGCTTGTCTTTCTTTAATTTGATGTCTGACCTATGAGCATTAAAGCGAGTTCGTAAATTATTCTTAGTTTCTCCTACATATTGTTTGGGGCATTTCTTGCATGAAATTAAATATATTACATTCGAATGTTCACATGTTAGATGTTCCTGGATCGGGTACCTTTTATTCGTAGAGTTGCTTACAAAATAATGAGTTTCTGATATAAAGGGACATGTTTTGCATCTACTGGACAAACATGGAGCACTTCTTAAACCTGGAGGTACTTCGGCATAAAGTCTGTTTTTAGCTGCTATCTGTGCTAAGGTGGATTTTTTTATGTTTCGTAAAAATCGTTTAGAGTACCCACGCTCTTTCAGTTTTGAGAAAACAATCGTACAGGCTTGGTTGAAATCAGACGATCTTGTAAAAATTCGATGAAATCGTAAAACTTGTGACTTAATTATACCAGAAAAGGTATGTTTTGGGTGAAAGGAGCTCTTGTGCAAGAGTTGATGAGTATCAGTTTCTTTGAAATACACTTTAATATCCAGTTTATTTGTTTCTGCTATGGAATCTCCCTTAAAGACTGTGGTAACACCTCACGTTCCCACTCTGCCATGAAAAGGTTTGCGTAAATATGATTTACCATTAAATGTGAAATCGTTTTGACTAAGACAAATCTCTAAAAGTTTGCATCGTCGGGTCTGTTTGGATCTGGGTTTCTATTAAAAGCTTTACGAACTGCCGTTAAACCAGTAGTGTTATCGATATTGGTATACATAAAAGAAAAGTCGATAGAAATTAAAATAGCATTAGAGGGAACTCGAAGATTTTTTATTTTATTGACAAAATCGGTTGTGTCTTTAAGGTAGGCGCGATGTTGGCATGTTAGAGGTAGTAAGAAATGATCAATGTATTCTGACACTGCATATGACTCACTACCACAGTCAGATATAATCGGGCGGCCTTTAGGGATTTTATTCGAGATAAACCACTCCTTGGTTGGATTCTTATGGATTTTAGGCAAAGTGTACAAATGTCTCTCGCGACAATCAGGTTTGGCAGACAGATAGTCATATTGTTTCTGTTTGAGATAACTAGTTTTGACTAAATCGGCAAGAATATTATTAATCATGTTAGCAGTTTCTTTGAAAATTGGTTTCGGTAAAATGGCATAATGTTTAGGATTATTCAGTTGATTCTCTGCTTCTGAAACGTAATCCTCCCTATTCAGAATGACACAACATGAACCTTTGTCACTCTTTTTAATAACAATGCTATCGTCTTTCTTAAGTAAGTTTAACGCTTCACGTTCCACTCGTGTGAGATTAGGCTTTTCGTGTGTTATGGAAAGGTTCACTGTTTGGCTATTCATACTCGCAAATGCTTTCAATAATTTAGGATGGATGGCGGCCTGAGGGGGTGTCCACGTGGATTTAGGAATAAACATTGTTCTAGCACCACGTGGGGGGTGGTTTCGAAAAAAATATGTGCAGCTAAGATTTCGTTGAAATCGTTCAATGGATGGTCGGAGATAATTCAAGTTAGCTATCTTTGGTGTGGGAATAAACTTAAGTCCACGGTCTAAGATTGAATGCTGAAGGGGTGTGAGAATTTTACGGCTCAAGTTAACTACAGTTTGGCCTAGCGGTGGCCTCTCAGTATTTTTATCCCCAGTAATTAGTTTAAAGACTTACTCGATGCTTGAAGCTGGTGTATCCAAAACAAATAGATGCTGTTTGCTGTTTCTGGAGACCAATGAAGATTATCAACTGTTTCGAATTCTTCTTCGTAGGGTGATAAGATTGTTGCGCTGTTGATACTTGACTCCATCATCATGTTGTTGAGAGTTCTGAGGTTCTGTTGTGCTTTCTTCGAGATTTTATTTGAAATGGGTATACATGTGAAGAGGATCTTGGAGTTTGGGAAGGTTTTGTTGGCTGTGGCGATTAATTTCTGGGCTTGGTTAAAGGAGGTCTTTGGTATCTGATCACGGTTGTTGAGGCCTACATGAAGAATAATGGTAGTAGGTTTGGGATCATGGTCGTATGATTCCAGGATTGACTGTATGTGATGGATTTGGGCACCGGGGTAAGAATGTATTTCGGTGTCTGAACTGGTTTTGGTAATTCGATTCAGGTTGGATGATCAAATTATCAGGGTAGATTTCTTTAGAGCAGGTAGTTTCCATAATGATTTGTCCTTGGTTTGGTGATAATACGGTTTGGTAGCGGATATAAAGGTCGTCGACGGTGTGATTGGTACTGGTTTGGTAGTTGTTAGAATTGTAGCATTGGGAACGGACTGGGATCTGGTTCGAGGAGGGGAAGGTCTGGATACACGTCTCGACTTGGATGGAGACTGAGGGGTGGTTTGCTGGTCCAAAAACGCACAGAAGGAAGAAAGGTTGGCGGATCCTGGATCACGTGGTGAAGATTCAGATGTTGTGGAAGGGGAAGTCGAGTCTGAAAGTGAAAAGAGAAGGGGTGTGCCCTCTCTACGAGAGCGTTTACCTATGTCTGCTGGACTAGGAGTAGGTGAACTTCGGGCTCGTTTAGGGGTTTGGTTCGGCAGCGTGGTGGCTTTAGATGGTGCAAGTGTAGTGTCCATTTCAGTTGGTAGAGATATGGTTACTCTGGTTTTTGTTTCGTTGATTGTTTGGTAGAATTTGGAGATTACAGCTTGAGTGAGACGTTTCCCATAGGAGCGACGGGCCCAGGACAGGGCATGAGAAACGATGCGGTCGACCGCAGGTGATGATAAAGACTTGGTACGAATGGTGGTCAGCTTCTCTTGAAGTGTGGTTTGGTAATGGTGGATCAGGACCTGCGTAACCTTACAGAGCCATGTCCGATTGAGGGATCTAATGTTCGCGTCGACAGCTGATGTTTTCATTGCTGGACGGATAAAACTATCCAACTCAGAGACTTTGCGTTTGAAGGTAAACGCTGGTTGGCCTTGCTGTTGAAGGGTAAGGATTGCCAAATGATGGAGGCACTGCAAAACTTGGAAGAACACCTTCACAAAGGGTTCTTCCTCCTTATGAGTGGGGACTGGTTGGCGTCGGTGTGCTGGTAGTCGTTTCTGTTGTTGGTCAGGTCGATGGTTACCTCTTGATTGGTAGGCTGTGTTGTAGGTAGGTCGGCGATGGGGTGGGATATAGCTGGATGGGTTAGTTGGTGGTCGGCGATTGGTAGGTGGTAGCGGTTGATGGAAGACAGGGCCGTTGTAGGGTACGTGATATTGGTTTGGTTGACGATTAGTGTTTCTATTTCTGGCTTCTTGCCAGTGGTTGTTGTAGTTGGGGAGCATAATGAAAATAACTTGGGGTTAGAAGGGAATGTACAGCGGATGTAACAGGAGGAAACTATATATGCTAGCGAGAAAATGTTGGGATCAAATTATGCAAATAAGTCAAACTGGGTTTGGGGATATATAAAGTCCATTTCCGGTTTTTTGCTATCTCACTTCCGGTTGCGCAGAACATTTTCGTTTTACATTTAATACGTGAATAGCCACGAGTTAGAAAACGTCATGAAGTCCGTTTTGTCGGTTACCCTAAACTGAAGTCTAATTTTTTTCCAGTAGGGCAATTTTATACTATTGTCTGTAAAAGTTTTAACACAAAACACATTAGGAGATAGAATTAAAGCGTTCTTAAACCGATTTGCGATATCATTTCGCTGGTTTAGAGCAAGAATGTTGTAAGTGACCATATTTGCGAATTCTAGTTTATACATATTCCTGGACCTACTTCCAAAGGTCTATATGATAAGCATTGTTTTATGAGGCATATATCCATGGAAACCCGATTTTTTTGCAATGTCTTTTTGTCGTAAGTGAAAATTTGAGCATATGCTTGGAGCAAAATTGTCGTAAGTGAAATTCTGTGATTTCATACTAAGATTAAGATAGTATGACATCATAAAATGTGTGATGTCATAAAATGTGTGACGTCATAAAATATGTGATGTCATACATGTCATGCCATTGGAAATTGGCACTGTGGCAAAAATGGCAGATCATTATGGACACCCGAAAAGGTTTAAAAGACGATTTCCGTTGCCTGCCGTTATCTCTGCTGTATATGGTAAGTTCTCTAATGTTATAGTTCTGATAATCCTTTTAAAATAATTGTACAGTCAATAGTTTAAGCCTTAAGGGCCTAGTGCCACGGATTTGGAAATTCCTTATTGATTCTGATTGTTTAGTGCTTGTTTGCTTGTGTCCTCACCCGGCACTATACACAGTTGATTGTTTATTTATTGTCAAGTCCCATTGGCTATACTATTGACAAGGGGAAACCCAGCCTGAAAATCCACTAAGTACGTTACCGGCCTTAACCGGGATTCGAACCCGGGCCCCTCTAGATAGCAATCAAGTGATCGGACCACTGAGCCACAACGGCCCCCGATTGTTGAGTAAGAGCTCTATAAACCATACAACACTCATGTTAAGGAGCTTTTGGAAAAATAAATGATGTGTAATCTCTCCTTTCTTCTCTCAAGAAATGATTAAACATTCTACTGTATCTCTGGATTTACAGAGCTCTTGGAGTTATTTCCTATTTATATTATGAATATTTACATTTCAGACTCAGAAGATTTTGATATTGATAGTGATAATGATCCAGATTATTGTGTCAGTCAGATGAAGGTGAAACGTTTAAATCCAACAACCTACTGCCACCGCATTACCTACCATTAGTGATAACAGTGAATCATCCATTGGTCATTGGTATCGGAATTAGATACAAACAATGGAAGTCATAAATCTAGAAAGAGAAAAGCTGACCCAAACACATGGCAAAAGAATATCAGATGTTTAGAGTATAATACTGGAGCACGAAAACAAGTAAATGGCGTATCGGGATCACGTAGAGTTGGTAGTGGTTGTAAAGATACATGTAAACTATCATGTACAAAGAAATTTACTGATGAAGAAAGACAAGGTATATTTGATTCGTATTGGGGAACCAACAATCACCAAAGGAGACGAGATTTTACAGTATCTCATACTAAAATATTTAAGAAAACGGGGTCTATGACTGGTGGTACTCCTAGTAGAAGATCCAACACCATACACTACTTTTTACCACAAGGCAGAGACAACATTCATGTCTGTAAGGTCTATTTTCTGAATACATTAGATATATCTGATTCAACTGTAAAATACAATGTCAACAACTCTAATAATGGGTTGGTTATTTTTGCAGAACCAAAAGTACCTGTTAACAAAACGTCTGATACCAAAAAACAATGTGTTATTAACCATATCAATTCTTTTCCAAAAGTTGATAGTCACTATTGCAGAGCCACAACTAAAAAAAAATACCTTGATCCAAGTTTAAATATAAAGGCTATGTACAGATTATATAGTGTTAAATGTAAAGAAGAAGGATCTTTAATGGTCACTGAATCTATGTATCGATACATTTTTAATACAGAGTTTAATCTCGGGTTCCACACACCAGGAAAAGACGTTTGCGACACATGTACTAAATATAAAATGAAGAAAGAAGCCAATACATTAACTGAAGTTGATGACAAGAACCAGGAAGAACATTTAAAGAGAAAGCAGCAAGCAAGAAATTCCAAAGAAAAGGATAAAACAAGAGATGGCGGATCTATCACAGCTGTGTTTGATCTCCAGCAAGTAATGACTGTTCCGAAGCTAAATATTAGTTCTGCCGATTACCTTAGGAATTTGAATGTATATAATTTAACGGTACTTGAGTTTCAAAGCCACCAAGGACACTGCTACACTTGGAATGAAACCGAGGGCAAAAGAGGCACAAATGAAATTGCTTCAGCAATTACAATATGGCTAGCAGCTAAAGATGCTGAAGGTTTTGAGCATGTAATTCTTTACAGTGATTCTTGTAAGGTTTTGAGCATGTAATTCTTTACAGGGATTCTTATGAATCGAAATAGACTAATGTGTACAGCATTAATACATTTTCTTTATAAAGCTAAAAACATTAAATTGATTGAACAAAAGTTTTTCGAGTCGGGTCATAGCCAAAACGAATGCGATGCAATGCATTCTTGTACAGAGCGACATTTCAGAAAAAGTAGTGTGTTCTTGTCATCTGGTTACCAAATCCACATGAAAAATGCCAACAAACGAAATTCATATGACTTCACCAACTTACGCATGACATGATATTAGATTTCGATGGCTTGAATTCTGTAGGATTTAAGCAAAATGCTTTTAATGGTATCATTTCTATGCATCATATTGTGTATTCTAAAGAAAGCACAGAAGTCCGAGTTTCGTTCTCTGTCGAAATTGGTGGTGAAGTTGAAGAAAAATTGTATAGAAAACGTGGCCAGCCTATCAACTTTATCTCCTATTCCATGTCAAAGTCATACAGTGCTCGGCTTCCAATCGATGCTCAGAAAAAAACTATCTCTTAAAGTTAATGAAGTCTGTACCAACAGATAGTCAACATTTCTTTATGGAATTACCAGTCCAAATAAATATAGAAGAATAATCCATACTGCTATGTATTTCAATAGTTCCGTTATAGTTCTGATATAGTTCCTTTTGGTATAAATTCTTAGTTGCTCTTATTGCGTCATGTCTACAGTTATTTTCTGGATTACGCATTTGATTCGAATGTTAGTTTTACATAAAATTGTTGTTAAAAATAAAATTTGTTATTTTTTATTATTGTTTTTTTTTTCACTTAAAACATTTTTGCTCCAAACATCTTCGAAGTATGTTTGGAGCAAAAATGTCTTATGTGAGTTTATGGCATCTTGCCAATACTGAATGAAACTGAAAGTATTGTAAAATAAATATCTTCACTAACACTTTGTTATCACTGAAAATAGTTACAAGGTAAATATACGCCAGGAATCATGATTTCATTTAGAATTTTAAAATGCAATTTTCTCCGTTTCACCACTATGTCACTTACGACATTCTTGCTCCAAGCCAGCGATTTGCCCACGTGAAAGAGGAAGTTGCTGGGACATGATTTGCAGACATTATCATAGAATGACCCATACATATTTCACTTTTTTCTTCTTCTTTTTGTTACGATAATGAAGCGTACACACTCTAGGGGGTCTTACTGGGCTTGATGTAGAAGGAATAAGGATAACGTTGAAAGATAATGAAGTTTGGCTACGTGAATGTCGGAATTTTCAATCTGCCACAGAATCGGATTCTGTTCATGCTGATGCTGTTCTATACTGAGGTCGGTAATGTCGAGATTGGTTAAGCCGACGTCGGAATAATGATGCCGATGATGCGGAGACCTGTAATAAGGTCGATGATGCAGAGGTCGGAAATGCTGAGGTCAATGATGTTGAGGTCGCTGATAATGAGGTCGATGGTGTTGAGATCGATGATGTTGAGGCACTTGAAGATAATTTCAATGAAACTTTCGTCGAAAGCTGATACTCTTACTCTGAGGAATGTGATGTTAGCGAGGAAAGAGGTGCTCTGGAGCTGAAAACAGAAATATGATGTTAACGAGAAAAGAGGTGTTCTAGAGCTAAAAACAGAACCATCTGTTTGGGCAACATGCACGTTTTGATAAAAATTCTTCATGATTCTTTCCAACATTTTCCAAGAGACCCACGAACACTCCATGCAACCCAGACCAGCTACACAATTAAGTAATTATCTAATAGGCAATACTATCATTTTGGCATGGCTAATAGAATATTGGATGTAGCAGCTCTATGTCATGAATGTGTTCCTTCCACTTTGACCCGTGTCAGTATTCGGGTAAATATTGATAGACTGCCATTATTCAAAAGTTCGAAAACATTTTTTGCCCATTCTAAGTAAAATTGTTGAACTTAAATCCACTCCTTTCATAATTGGTTTGTTTTCTAGAGAACAGAATCCTGGAGATATTGAGGAGTACCTCTGGAATCCAAGAATGGTATGACATTAAAGTTGCCAGAAGATGTCAGTATTAAAGTTTTAATGTTTAATGTTTTATCTGCGATGCTCCAGCGAGAGCATTTGTGAAACAAGTCAAGGGGCACAATGCTTACCATGGCTGTGAAAAGTGTTCCCAGAACGTTGTTTGGAAAGACAAAGTCACATTTCCACGAACAAAATCAGGTTTTCGCAATGATGAAAGTTTTGTTGACTTGGCAAATCCTGATCACCACAGTGTCAGTTGTGTTATATCACCCCTTCTTCATCTGTGCATGGGAATGGTATCACAGTTTGTTGGATCCGATGCATTTAGTTCATCTCGGCGTGATGGTTGTCGATGAAGGGTCCCACATGGCTGTCGTATTGGTTCGAACAAAGAAGGATAATACTGCATTTCATCCTTGCTTGCCACGTGAATTTCCTAGTATGAGCTGACCCCTTAGTGAAATTGACAGACGGAAAGCTACATAGTATAGGCAGTTAATACTTTACAGTGATTTGTTGGCCCTTACCGCCTGTAAAGTCCAGTATACTGTGAGAGATATTGTAGTTATGCAGATGTTTTTTGTGAGACAGTTCGGTGTGTTATATGGGGAAACATGCTTGTCTATAATGTTCATAATCTGATTTATTTGGCCACTTATTCTTAAAGATTCGGAGCTCTTGACTCTTTTCAGCCTTTTCACTCGAAAGTTTTCTTGGTAGGTTGAAAATAATATTGAACAAACCAAATTTCCCTTTGGCACAGATTATTTCCGACTCTGAGAATCCAAAATTGCTCTTAAAACTATGTCCAAAATAAGCATCGTTTAGGGCCATTTCCATTTGAATACAGAAAATATTCTCAATTTAGAGACATTCAATGGGGAGAGGTACATTTCTCAAATTTCAGATAGCTGCATCAAGGTTGGAAGCAAAATTGGTCTTATCAAAAACAACCTTAAGTGAACAGATTCAAACACTTCTTTTTACACTGCTTTTTGAATCATTCGGGTCTGTTTCTGATCTGGGGGCAAAATTTCAGACGAGTGTTATTATCAAAATTTAGCCCACTTATGCCTTTATCTTTGGTATGTGGCCAAATGAAGTCTGTGAAAACATTCTTTTGCCCAGTAGTTTAGTTTGCTAAACAAGGCAACATAACATATGCCCTTTGGCAGCTTTGATTAAATTTGGACATTTCTCATAGTGACCATTGAAATTGACAAATATTTTTAGTGTAAAGATTTGAAACTCAGTCAATATTTGTCGCATCTTACCCAAATTTAAACTTTCCAAGACCTTAGCGGATAAGATCCTACACACAATATGTTAAAACCATTCTGACAAACAAAACCGTGCGAGTATTGCTTTCACAAACCACTTTTAACCTATATTTAGTGTATCAAGGGTTGAAACTCTGTCAATATTTGTCGGAATCATTCAAATTCAGCTGTCCAAGATCCTATACAACAAATTTTTAAAAATTGTGACAAAAACAAAATCTTATAACCCATCTTTTCATTCTTGTTCCCCTTGTCCATTTCGTATTCTCTGTGGTTTGTAAAAGTTGTGCCCTTTAGCTGTACCTATTCAGACCTTGTTAAATGCCCATCCCTCTTGTCGTTGTTGATGATGATTGGCTCTATAATTTAACTTATGATCAGGAAGTGAGGAGTTTCTTCGCTACACTGTTTGTTGTGTTTCTCCTATGTTTTGTTTCTCCTATGAAATGCGGTTTACTAATATGTTTACACTTTTCAGTGTATCAAGGGTTGAAACTCATCAATATTTATCCAAATTCAAATTCAGCAATCCAAGATCCTATACAAAATTTTTTTAAAAATCTGACAAAAACTTCAATCTTATAACCTACCTTTACATTCTTGTTCTTCATGTCCATTTGGTATTCTCTATAGTTGTAAATGATGAGCCCTTGAATTGTATCTATTCAGACCTTATCATATGCCGATTTCTTGTTGTATCTCGTTGAAAACTCGTAATTATTTGTAGGAAATTCAAACTCGTCCGTCCAAGATCTTGTAGATATGATCCTATACACAAAGTTTTTAAAAATTCGGACAAAAACCGTGGTCACAAACCACTTTCAACATATTTTTAGTGTATCAAGGATTGAAACCCTGTCAATATTTGACGGAATAATACCCAGATTCAAACTCATCCGTCCAAAATCTTGTGGATATGATCCTACACACAATGTTTTTTTTTAAAATTCTGCCAAAAACTGTGTTCTCTACACTTAAACAGATGAACCGACGGACAGATAGCAATTCAAGTCCACATTACAATGTGGAACTATATTATAAAGACTGTTTTAAATGAATTTAGACTACGGCAGAAATTCAATTGTTGTGGTGGAATTTACAGACAAGAAGATGGGTGGCTTGGCAGTTGTTCCATCTAACAGATTGGTTTATAACCACCAAATTCCGGTAAAATAATTGTACAACACTCTAATTTATGTTCTTGAAAAAGGCAAACATGGGGCAAAATGAGGTTAAATGGAGGAAAAACATAAGGATTCTTCTCCTTGCTAATATATTGCGCAAAAAAATTGATTCCTTCTGACTGCGGCGTGGAAAATGGTGTGAAGTGTTTTAAATTTCCCCCCTGTATCGATTTCATGCAGTCCAAAGACATAAGATCAATAGAATATGGCCCAAATGATTTTCTATCCTTCCTCATACCTTTTGTCCTAACACGGAATCCAACAATGACAAACTTCTTGATGGTTCATCTGCCATATTATCTATTGAATTGACACACTGAAAATGCAAGCCTATATTATTTTTATGACACAACTGAAACAATTCTTTTCATAATACCATTCAATGCAGGGTCTGGAACACCTTTGTTTTACACGAGAGTATAACAGCCATATTATCGGTCAATATATCTGACCTAGAATTAAGTACCTGGGCCTAATGCTTCTACAGCTCACAATACCGCTTCAGCCTCTTACAAATGAATTGGGGCATCATTTCCCTTTTCCCAGAAATCACCAAACAGAACTCCGTTATGGACCCCATTCATGACAGCAATTCCGTTTTTGTACAGTGAAGCATCCATACTTATTAATAATTGATTATGATACTTTTTCCGCCACGCCACTTAAAACAGACTGTCCATGTGTCAAGAAACCTCCAGCTCTGTATTTCCTCCCTAAGAGAACCTTTTACCTCAACCGATCTACTATTCTTCATACACTGGGAAATGGCGAAATTTACCTCTCTACAGTATAATTTTGCGCCTCGTATAAACCAACGACATAGAAACACATTTCCTTGCAAAACGTTGTAAAGTGCGAATATCAACAGAAGACAACGACAAAATATATTCTCTAAGCAAAATAAACTTTTCATTTTATCACTAGGTAAAATATATGCCTGCTTAACAGAATAAACTATAAAACCAAGGTATTTCAAGGGAGTAAGACGAAACCGACATTCCAATCGTCTGATACACATATGTCGATGCCTTCTAACCAAACGGTATAGTAGTAAATGTAAAGATAGCTGTCAGATATGATAAAACAGTCTTTAGTGACTATAGTACGAATTTTCTCATATTAAAGAATTTTTATGCTGAATAATTCCACCAAATTTTTTAAAATCAATATCAAATTCATCAAATTATTAAATCTCACAACTCTCACAAATATCAAGGTCAAAAAAGAGCGAAATCGTTGCAAAAATCAATCAATATAAATAAAAAGACGTAACACTCCATTCATTTCATTTCAGTTATCATAAAAATCATGAAATCTGTAGTATTTTTTGTGTTCACAAACAAATTCTGACGCGATTTTCCTAAGTCAAGGGCAATAACTCCAAAATCGTCAAATTCAGCAAGGCCAAGCAGCATTTATCTTCAAACGCAAAGTCTCTGCAATGAAACATCAGCTGTCGACGCGAATATTAGATCCCCCAATCGGACATGGCTCTCTAAGGTTACACAGGTCCTGATCGACCAATACCAAACCACACTTCAAGAGAAGCTGACCACCATTCGTACCAAGTCTTTATCATCACCTGCCGGGCCCGTCGCTTCTATGGGAAACGTCTCACTCAAGCTGTAATCACCAAATTCTACCTAACAATCAACGAAACAAAAACCAGAGTATCCATACCAACTGAAATGGACACTACACCTGCACCATCTAGAGCCCGAAGTTCACCTACTCCTAGTTCAGCAGACATAGGTAAACGTTCTCGTAGAGAGGGCACTTCCCTTCTCTTTTCACATTCAGACTCGTCTTCCCCTTCCACACCATCTGAATCTTCACCACGTGATTCAGGATCAGCAAACTTTTCTTCCTTCTGTGCGTTTTTGGACCAGCAAACTACCCCTCAGTCTCCATCCAAGTCGAGGCGTGTATCCAGACCGTGATCAGCTACCAAAGACCTCCTTTAACCAAGCTCAGAAATTAATCGCTACAGCCAACAAAACCTTCCCAAACTGACATATATACCCATTTCTAATAAAATCTCCAAGAAAGCACAACAGAACCTCAGCACCCTCAACAACATGATGATGGAGTTCAGTATCAACAGCGCAACAATCTTACCACCCTACGAAGAAGAATTCGAACCAATTGATAATCTTCATTGGTCTCCAGAAACAGCATTTATTTGTTTTCGATACACCAGCTTCAAGCATCGAATAAGTCACAAATATGACTGTCTGTCTGCCAAACCTGATTGTCGCGAGAGACATTTGTGCACTATTAGGCTGATCGGAGAAGTTCATAATCGCTAGAGCTGTGGAAAAAATTTGCACAGAAATTATTTTTTCATTTTCTGGAAGGACCATGTCTATAGTGTCCCAGAAAAAAACTCTCGCAAAATCTCCCCTGGGGAAACTTCGTGGTGAGCAATTTAAAATTGGTACTCGAAATATTTTTTTAAAAAATACGGTACTGCTTGGAAAACTTATCTGAATTCGGGACAGTCTAACGTTACCTGGTCATGTTTGGTATCAATTATTAGGTAGTTGATGTCAGCGAATTCGAAAATGAAATCAAATCGAACTTAGCTGTACCTCGTCACGGATGTGACGTCATAAATATAGTTGACGTCATTAACTTTACGCCATTAACGTTACGCAATTTTGAAACACTGTCAAAAAACTAAAATATTCTACATATTTTTTCGTAAATTCCCGTCCCAATGGACCGGTCCGGCTCAGCAGAGTTGTTTCCAGAAGGTAGATGTTTTATTTGTTTCAAGGAGTTGGGACAGGGTGTGGCCAATGTCCGCTCAAAAGGCTTAAATACGTTGATTGAATGTAGTGAGAAACGTGGAGAAGATATATTACAGACATTTCTGCAATCCAGACTAAACGGACCTGGGGTAGTGAAGATTCGTATGCATGAGGTCTGCCGTAATGAATATACGCTCGCCAGAAATGTAGAGCGTGCTAAGAAACATAAATCGGACGATCAAGGCCAAGCGCTTCCTGCGCCTAAGAAACTTCGCTCCAGCCTTGAATCATTCCTGTGGTCTGAAGAGTGTTTCATATGTGGCCAGATAGCTCAAAATGATATGAGACACCCAGACAGAAATCCGGTGTTTGAAGTTAGAACGATAGAAATGCGAGAAACGATTTTACAAGCGTGTGATAGAAGTGACAACTGGTCACGTGTCCAGGGCTGTGCATTTCTAGTTGCTGCTGAGGCGCGTTATCATCATAAATGTTTCATTCTGTTCTCGAAAGGCCGCCGCCCGGAAAACACTCCCATCGAATCCCTTGCGGGGCGACCAGTGAATCAAACTATGCACAGGTGGTTTTTAAGGCTCTGTGAATGGTTGGAAAATAGTTCGGAAGTAGAATTGTATACGGTGGATGATTTGATGGCGAAAATGGAAGAAATTGCTGGTGGCGAAGAAACCTACACCTCGAGAACCTTGAGAGAGAAATTGATTCAGCGCTATGACGAACACGTATTTTTTGCAAAAATTGGTGGAGGCCAGAAAGATGTGTTATGTTTCAGGAATATGGCCGATTATATAGTTCACAGAAAATGGCATGATGAGAAGATTGAGAACAGAGAAGCAGAAATACGCAGGATAATCATTACCTGTGCTCGTCTGGTTAAGGAGGAAATAAGGGAAAGAGAATACAGTCGCGATTATTACCCCAGCCTAAATGATATTCGAGATGTTGAGAAAGGGAGAGAATTTCTTACTCCTTGTCTGCAACTGCTTATGGAGCATTTGATACCATGTTCTTTAAGACGAGATTGCATTGGTCAAATGATCACTCAAGCCGCAAAACCTAAAACCGTGATATCACCCTTGATGTTTGGACTGGGTCTAGAAATGGACCATGTTTTTGGGTCTTCATGCGCTGGGTATGTCTATATCATATGATGAAGTCCAGCTCTTCAAACAATCGGTATTGATGGATGAACATTTGCGCACTGTGTTACCACCTGAAAGTCCAGCATTTACACAATGGTCAACCGATAACGCCGATTCAACTGTCGAAACCTTAGTAGGTGATGGTCAATTTCATGCCATTGGTATGATTGCTATGTCGACTGGACACCTGGATTTGATAATCGGGTCAAGCGTCAGACAAGAGTCCGTGTTTCCAAACTTCTTGAGGGTAAATCTATTTCCACTCTAAAGTATTTTACTCAATCCCCGCCAGCATTATCTACTATCCCATTCCAACCACTCGTAGAAATTATCCGCCCATACGTGATCCCACCGTCATCATATTACAGCAACATTCTATGGAAATGCGCACGGAGGCTCAGAGATCCAAATTCCAAAGTCCAAATGATGATTCTGGTATTTATTCGGCATTGGTGTACCTACAGACTCAAGGCGAGAAACTGGGGTTACAAAATTTCTGTATAACGTTTGACCAACCCCTATATCTCAGGGCATCCGAAATAGTCGAGGCTAAGAAAATGAATAAGATTGTGCTGCGTCTTGGAGGCTTTCATCTCTTAATGAGCGCGTTGGGCAGTTTGTATCATCTAATGGCTGGATCTGGAATGGAAGAAATGTTGTGATGCATATTATCAGTGGTAAAGCATACGACCGTGCTATGAGAGCAACATTACTGATGGAATTCGCGTTAATGACCCGGTTGTTCACTCATCTTCTCGAAAACGAAACTCAGATAGACCACGTGAGCCTAAGTCTGGACGAAATTCAGGAGCTTCGGCAACTGTTCAAACAAACATTGGAAAACCCTACGTCCGACGTTCTCGACCACATATCTGATTCTCATATATTAGCTAAAGTAGATAGGTTTCTCTGTATCATTAAAAAGACACTAAGCGATAAATCGCGCACTGCACGATTGTCGTTGCAACATTTGGACTATTTTGCATGGATAAAAGATTTTGTACGGGCAGAAAGACTATCCGATTGGGAAGGCCATCTTAACGCTGTTGGGAACTTACTGAATCTGTTCGCCGCTACCAATCACATTCACTATGCCAAGAGTGCAAGACTCTATTTACAAAAAATGCGTTCATTGTCTTCAACACATCCATGGCTGTACAATAAATTTGCAATTGAAGGTATGCATGCTGTGAGACGGAGTCCACGCACCTGGGCTGGACTGTCGACCGATTTGGTAATTGAGCAAACAATGATGCGACTAGATCAGGACTAACGCATGGAAGAGGTTTGACTGATACGGTCATTGCGCAATGGATACATTCAATGCACATGCTCGCTTCTGTACACGATGCGATGACAACATTGATCTCTCGAAAGTATGTAACTAGTTGTCAACATGTGGAAATGGGCGAGTCACGATGTAAAAGGGATTCCGAAGATTATAAGAAATTTGATTTCGGGGAAGGGAGGGTTTGATTCTCCCAAATGAACAGGCCTAGGGTGGAGCAGACACTTTATTTAGAAATTAGGATTAAGGGTCTTGATATTGGGTTTTCTTCTGTTCTTATTAAGTTAACTACAGTTTGGCCTAGCGGTGGCCTCTCAGTATTTTTATCCCCAGTAATTAGTTTAAAGACTTACTCGATGCTTGAAGCTGGTGTATCCAAAACAAATAGATGCTGTTTCCTTTTTCTGGAGACCAATGAAGATTATCAACTGTTTCGAATTCTTCTTCGTAGGGTGGTAAGATTGTTGCGCTGTTGATACTAGACTCCATCATCATGTTGTTGAGAGTGCTGAGGTTCTGTTGTGCTTTCTTCGAGATTTTATTTGAAATGGGTATACATGTGAAGAGGATCTTGGAGTTTGGGAAGGTTTTGTTGGCTGTGGCGATTAATTTCTGGGCTTGGTTAAAGGAGGTCTTTGGTATCTGATCACGGTTGTTGAGGCCTACATGAAGAATAATGGTATTAGGTTTGGGATCATGGTCGTATGATTCCAGGATTGACTGTATGTGATGGATTTGGGCACCGGGGTAAGAATGTAGTTCGGTGTCTGAACTGGTTTTGGTAATTCGATTCAGGTTAGATGATCCAATTATTAAGGTAGATTTCTTTAGAGCAGGTAGTTTCCATAATGATTTGTCCTTGGTTTGGTGATAATACGGTTTGGTAGCGGATATAATGGTCGTCGACGGTGTGTTTGGTACTGGTTTGGTAGTTGTTAGAATTGTAGCATTGGGAACGGACTGGGATCTGGTTCGAGGAGGGGAAGGTTGGATACACGTCTCGACTTGGATGGAGACTGAGGGGTGGTATGCTGGTCCAAACTCGATGTTTCGTTGATTGTTTGGTAGAATTTGGAGATTACAGCTTGAGTGAGACGTTTCCCATAGGAGCGCATGGCCCAGGACAGGGCATGAGAAACGATGCGGTCGACGGCAGGTGATGATAAAGACTTGGTACGAATGGTGGTCAGCTTCTCTTGAAGTGTGGTTTGGTAATGGTCGATCAGGACCTGCGTAACCTTACAGAGCCATGTCCTATTGGGGGATCTAATATTCGCGTCGACAGCTGATGTTTTCATTGCTGGACGGATAAAACTATCCAACTCAGAGACTTTGCGTTTGAAGGTAAACGCTGGTTGGCCTTGCTGTTGAAGGGTAAGGATTGCCAAATGATGGAGGCACTGCAAAACTTGGAAGAACACCTTCACAAAGGGTTCTTCCTCCTTATGAGTGGGGATTGGTTGGCGTCGGTGGGCTGGTAGTCTTTTCTGTTGTTGGTCAGGTCGATGGTTACCTCTTGATTGGTAGGCTGTGTTGTAGGTAGGTCGGCGATGGGGTGGGATATCTCTGGATGGGTTGGTTGGTGGTCGGCGATTGGTAGGTGGTAGAGGTCGATAGAAGACAGGGCCGTTGTAGGGTACGTGATATTGGTTTGGTTGACGATTAGTGTTTCTATGTCTGGCTTCTTGCCAGTGGTTGTTGTAGTTGGGGAGCATAATGAAAAGAACTTCGGGTTAGAAGGGAATGTACAGCGGATGTAACAGGAGGAAACTGTATATGCTAGCGTGAAAATGTTGGGATCAAATTATGCAAATAAGTCAAACTGGGTTTGGGGATATATAAAGTAAGATGAAAGTTATGATGAAAAATGCAAAAATATATATTTAGGTGATAAATATCTCTATCGACGTTTCTTCTATGTATACCAATATCGATAACACTACTGGTTTAACGGCAGTTCGTAAAGCTTTTAATAGAAACCCAGATCCAAACAGACCCGACGATGCAATTCTACAGCTTTTAGAGATTTGTCTTAGTCGAAACGATTTCACATTTAATGGTAAAACATATTTACAAACTTCAGGGACAGCAATGGGCAAACGATTCGCCCCTTCGTACGCAAACCTTTTCATGGCAGAGTGGGAACGTGAGGTGTTGCCCCTCTGTCCATTTGACCCACTTTTTTACGGACGCTTTTTGGATGACATTTTTATGGTTTGGACTTACTCTATCGAACAGTTTTGGGAATTCTTTGAAATTCTCAACAACCACCATCCTTCTATCAAACTAACCGCAAACGTGAGTGACAAAAGCATAGACTTTCTCGATACCACAGTCTTTAAGTGAGATTCCAAAGCAGAAACATACTAGAGCCACTCGTGGCACAGAGTGGGACTTTGCAAATGTAGCAAATTGCAAAAGACCCCGAAAAAATCATCCTTCCACGATAATTAGATCAAGCGCAAGAACAGTCTAAAGTAGAAGATTCTAATACCGGAAGTAGACGTCAGACCTCACAAATGAAAGTATCAGCAGATAGCCAAAGTCAATGACCTTTGATCTTGTAAAAGAGAAAGTCTAAAAAGGTCAAGATCAAGAGATATACGTCATCAAAATTTCTAATTGCACACGACTATAAAACCGAAAGTTGACATAGGACGGCAAATATAAAAGTATAAATAGATAGCCAATGCCAATGACGTTTGATGTTAGAAAGGTCAAGGTCAACAAAGGTCAAGGTCAAAAATTGAAAATTTTCAATTTCCAAAACCTGTTCCTTTTTTTGAACTAAGAAGCGGAAACAACCGAAATTCTAAGACAAAGTGGCTCACAATATGAGGTAATTGTATGCAAAGTTCCATTTTGAACAAATGGATACTTTGCGAGTTATGCCCCTGGCCAAAAATGTCAATAATGAGTAATTAAACCCGGAAGTGCCACGCCCAACTCAATTTTTTTTTAATAAGTTAATCAATATTCAAAATGTTACGTTATGTTCCAAATGTCAAGTTCCTACATACTAGAGGTCAAAAGATATAGGTCAACAAAAGTCAACAAAGG